GTTATGCAAGCCTCAAATGAGGCTGGATTGGCTATTGAGGCACATGTAAGACACATGTACCACCTTGTTTGCTTTTAAATATGAGGTTGTAACCCAATAAAATTGCTATTGGCCAGAAGCTTTTAGACCCTGTTCCTTGACCCGTTTGCAGTTTGGGTCACTTTGCGTTGCAGCTAAGTTCCCAAAGCACATCAGTGATGGACAGAAGAGGCAACTCTCTTCTAGCTGTCTAGCTGTCAAACCTCTCTCTCTTACTGCTACCCTGCTTCCTCTCCTACCTCAGCTCCAGTTTAGAGGAAAAACTCCCATTCCAAGTCTCAAACTTGGAAATCTTTGCACTGATACACTCGCTACCGGCTTGCTCCGGAGCTCTTCCTTGGAGCATCTCAGCTCCCACTTCCCATGTCCTGGACACCCTCATTCGCTTCACCAAGCGCTTTATATCAAGCAGGGCAGCCTTACATCCTGGCCCAGCTGAAGGGCTTAACAACATAAGTCCTTCGGGCAGGAAGACTATTACTAAGAGGCCTGTTCGCACCTCTCTGGTCACAAGCTGTTCTCAGGATCCACATTAGATGGGGGTCACATCCTCATGTTGGAAATGGGGCCTCCAGTTGGAGAAGTGTTGCACTAGGACATGTCAAACTCACTGCCCACCAGCCTGTGTGGGACCTCACAGGAGGTGGCAAAACCAGGGGACTCACCTGGCTCTTGCATCCACGTGGCTCCCTCCTGGATGCCACGGGAGTAGGGCAGCCTCAGCTCCTAAGCCCACTCTGAGCCTCTCTATAGGGGGACAGAGGCTGGAGAGATTTCAAGTCCACCATTACTGTCAAAGCATTTTGCAATAGCTCTTCCTCTCTCTCTGCCCATACTGCCTTCTGGCTCCTACAGGACACCCTCCAACTCCTTGTCCAGATAGAGAAGATGAGCACAGCGTGATTCAGCTTCCTAGATGGAAATTAGGTTGCTGCTCATTTCAATGGTCTGTGCTGGACTAGGATAGTGAAGGCATGGAGATGTTCCTGGTATGCCAGAGTGTCCTGCAAATGAGGAATACCACAGAATGGTTAGCTCTGAGTGAGCCAATGTACTCCAAGAACCCATCAGGCTGTCTAGCAAGTCTACTTGGGTAAAGGACAGACTGCAGTGGTTTGCCTTGAGCAGGCTCCATGTGAGAGGACTTGAATGGGCATCTGGAATCATCACTGGGCTTTTAGCCCTTCTCCTCACTGTGGGGGAGAGGAAGAACCAGGCACTTGCCGATGGAGCACGTGTCAGCCCTTCCTCTGTCATCAGAGGGGGAGGCAGCCCTGGCTATGGAGTCACACACTTCCCACGTCCCCTGGATATAGATGGGAAGGGAATCTACCGCAGCAGAACAGATTACTGTGGGTGGCTTTGAATATCTGAGACTATTTCAAGGACTAAAAAGCTGGCAAGGTTTTGGTGCTGGGCACATTAGCAAAGGAGGAAACAAGGCATAACTGCCTATATTGAGAAAAGACGTCAAAAGAAGTCATATGTCATTTTAATCTTGGCTTGGTAGATATGGGAGGAAAAAATGAGCCCAAGGACCACCATAAAATGTGGACTCGGTGAAGAATCACTGCAGTTTGTTGGCAAAGATTTGTATCATAACATGATGGATCCACATGGATGTAGGATGGATGGTTCGGTTTGGAGCAGGCTGGAAAATAAATTATGTGAGAGCAGAAATTGCTAAAAGGCTTTGCTTGACGTTGAAGGAATCTCAAATTTGACCAAGGCTTGACTAGCTTTTGTGGTTAGATTCATAAGAATAACTGCTCACCATCCTCTTATACAATAAACTGATGCTTCAAGCTCTGACCCTAGTTCATTCCCATCCACCCGTGTCTATCAAAGAGCAATTATGTTGTCCCTTTACCTCACATAGGAAGCATTGGGGTGTCCATTCACTAAGTGTTTAGGAGTTCGGTTTGCCTCTGATCTTCAGAGCTTCTTCAGAGCAGACCACACTAGATTCAAACCATCCCTGGATCTATGTTAAACTGCCTCACTTGCAAGCCCAGCTCATGGCTTAGTCCCATACCATGGCTGGTGCACTCTGTTCTGATACAGTTAGCAGCAGAGATACACTGCAAAGTGTTTTCAAATCAGTGCTTTTTAATCCATAAATGGTGAAATTCCACATACAAGTTAAAAAACAAACAAAGAAATCACTGATGTTAGGAAAATATCCATGTCACATAAAGCACAACCCCTCTGACACTACAGATGTAGGAACTGGGTTATATAGGTGGAAGCAACACATCTAGGATCTCCAGAGTTTCTTCCAAGATATGTTAATGGTAAATCTGCCTTATATGTAAACCTACCTCATTCCCTACCGCCCCACTACCAAACAGCTGGCAAGATGACACAGAAAAGCGGATGGTACCAGATGGCCTCATGCTCAAAGCCAGGCCTGTAATCCTGTCTGACAACGTACAGCTCTCAGTTATTGCAGGGGAAGCTGCAGAAAATGATAATTATGAAGGGTTCCTCCATGGGGAAAAATCCCTTTTGTCAGTCAAGGTAGGGCCAGCTTGTGTCCAGGAGCCTGGAGACTCGTTACCAAAACACAGCGCATTCCAGACCTTACAATCATGTGTGGAGACAAGAGCAAAGAGCATGAATCTTGATCCATCCACAGAACTTGCTGAAACAAGGAGAGGCAAGATATGTTGCACGAGCAGAGGTCTGTCAGTAACTAATGTGCTTTGGATATAATACCGTCTAGAACTAGAAATCTTCTTTTCATTTTTCCATAAATCAGAACAGGACCAAAAGGTTGGCACATGAGCACTGAGCTACCTAGAACAAATCAAGGTACAACCCAAAGGGAAGCTAACACAAAGACATCCCACTGCCAGCCTCAAGGGACCTGTGTGTTCAGTTAACTCCGTTAAACTATAGTTACAAATTTGTCACAACTTAAAAAGTACAAAAATACAATTGAATCTCTGAAGGGTATTTTATACCTACCAAGATCATCCAAGCACTTAAAATTAGACAGCTCCTTAGCCTTCAGAAAAATAGTGCACAATGCAGAAATGGAATTGAGAAAATTTTGCCAATATATCTAGTGTGTATTCTGAGTCTTCCAGCATTTCCAGTACAATTACCAAGATGCATGCATCCATCAGCCCAAGTCTGATATGAATGCTGACAGCACAATGTTAGGGTATTAGCAACGTGTGCAAGATCCAATACTAGCACAAATTTAGTAGTTTAATAATCTGGAGGAGCTATCTTCCTGGAGTTTTAATCTCATACCAAGAAAGAAACAAGGCTCTTAGCTATTAATCTACTCACATATTTAGGGCAATCCACTTCTACTGATTAAAAAAGCAAGACAACAAATACACAGTAAGTCTTTCCCTTTTCCTTCAGAGAAACAGGCTATGCAATTGGATCTATTTGCTGGGCAAATCTGTTCACCCATTAAAACAAAAATATGCACAAGCCCCAGTTCAGCACAGCATGAGCGGATACTCAAGTTGGTATCAGCTGTAGCTCACTAGCTTTGCTAAACTTGGCCCAACCATGCGCAACTTGTGAAACTCAGGAATAAGCAGACCAAAATCTGCCTCACTGATGATTTGAAGTGATGGGAGGTCTGACATGCTGCCAGCTCTGCTGGTGGTCATGTGGCCAACCCCATCCGAGCTCTAAGCCGGTCAGCTGTGACTTGGTTAACCTGCACTGCTGCCCGATCGCCTGATTAAGTACTCAGGTTCTCCAGGTCTTTGGGTGCTTGAACTCCACAATACTGTCACCACCTTTCACCAGTACCTGAGCTATTGCCACATTTATTCTGCTCTCATTAAATGGGAATTGAATGTAATCTGAATGCAGCTCTGATTTGATATCTTGGCCAGCAAGAGGTCTTGTTAATCCATTGGTTCAGGGCTTGCAATATTGAGAATGCTAAAGTTTTCCAGTACTGGGGTGTTAGGTACATCTCTGTTCACTCGGTAACCACATGGAGATTGTCATGTCAATGTAAACCAGAGAGAGTGAATACACACATGCACGACTGTTCTGCTCCTTAGAAAGATCATCTAGGACAGTGGGAACTGTTGTCCCTTCATATTGACATGGGGACAAATCTGACATTTCATTCCACCTACTCTGCTCTATGTAACAGCCAGCCCTGTAGGCCTAGTGGGACAGAACTCTCTTAGCTACAGTAAGATACATGCACGTTGAATTGTGACTGCGCTGGGAGACTGGCTCATAGCCAGTTAGCATAAATTTACTCAGTTCGGGCGCTCATGAGCATTTCTTGACCTGAATGCTTTTCTCCACAACCTCAGTACTCACAGTTTGGGCACTTTTAAAACAACAGGGTCCAATTTCTCCCTCAAATTGCTGCAAAGCAGTCACGGAGGTCATGGAGAGGCCCTGCAACCTACAGACTCTTCAGGCCAGCCTGTCTAAGCCTGCTGGGCTGCACAGCTGCCCCAGGGGAGTTGAAAACCCTCATACCACTCAGTGGCTTGCTCACAGTAGATCCAAATACCTCCCTCTTGGTCTTCTTCTGGGCTGAAATTGCCACGTGACTTGGTTTCTGGTGAGGAGCATCACCGGTGTTGTCTTCTACACTGCAGATAAAGCCTAAGAGAGACACTAAAGAAGGTTACAGCTTTTGCTTTAATGGCTGGGCTTGGTTCAGCTGCTTCTTGTGTTAAGCAGAAGACACAAACCAGTCCCTGCTTTATACCAAAGTACAGGTCCCTCGTCCCCTTAAGAGGGGGAGGAAAAAAAAAATCAGAGTTTCCCAATGCTGTTTAGCTGAGGACAACTTATGCAGGAGCTGGGAGATAGAGGAAACCAATATTCAGTAGCGACAGGGGCTGTGTGTCACTCACATCTTTGAGGAGAATCCAACCAGTGGCGTAACCCCAGACGGGTACAGCATTAGAAGCCAGGCCTCCTCCAAACGAGAGGAGCATTGTGCTGCAGTGACACCCCAGACAGACTGCCTGCACTGCTGAGGATCTGCCATTGCAGGATTCAACGTCCGGCAGGCCCAGAGTTTGAAGAACATGACCTAGCCAGGTGGCTGTCTCAGTACATGGCCTCGTTGTCTCCCACTGCGGTGAAGGGGACGCTGTAAGTGCTGTTCTTGCTCCGTTTGCTCTTCTTATTCCAGACCAGCAGCGTGCTGGCACTCTTGCTGTTCATTAGACTTTTCCGGCTGTTCTCCTTGTTGTTCTTCATCAGTGCACCTCCTGAAGACATCACCGCTGCCTTCTTGTCTGCCTGTCAGGAGGGGGAACAGAGACCAGTGTGAGGTGTGATGGCAAAGAGGTAACCCACATGAATAGTCTCTACCACTCGAGTGGTTCATTTCCGTAGCATTTCTGCTTGTTCCTGAATATTTCTTTGTATAAAAAAAATCACATGGCCAGGGTCTGGGAGCCTAAGACGCATCTGAAAACAGAGTGGCACAAAGCCGGGGCGAGGATAAGAACTCAAATTTTCAGCTTCCTCTATCAAGTGCAATCCGCAGCCATCATCTCTGGTGTTGTGATGCTTTAACTCCCCGACACACACAAGCCACATGCACATAGGCTGAGGAGCCTCCACCTCAGGCAGAACAGGTCTCATTTATAGCCTCTCTGCTGCACTGGCTGCAAGGAAAGGAAACTTATGCAGTAAAAGGAAGAAAAAAATCCTCATTGCCTTGCTACCTTCATCCATTACAGACCAGTAGGGAACCTCTGTCTTTCACAAAGCAGCCGCTGGGTCAGCTTGCCTTGGTGACTATTTTGCAGCTAGGAGTGAAGATAGATGGCCCTCCTCCTCTGAAAGCAGCTACCAGTGCTTTGTATTTGCCAGGCCAGCTGTAAACAAACCCGCCATGCAGGAGACAAAGCAGAGCCTTGTTTTAAGCAGACTAAAGCAAATTTCTCCCCACAGTTGCAGTTTCCTACTTAAGGATTTTGCCAAGCTTTGCTTGCAAAACGCCCTCATGACTTACAGTTTTCGGCCCCTCTGAGTCCTGGAGCGTTATCACACCAATCTCCACTCCCTCTTCGCCAGTGCTCTTCAGCAGCTGCACCACTTCGGCGTGCTTGGACCACTTGCAATCCTTGCCGTTCACTGAGATGATGTAGTCCCCTTCCTTCAGCCCAGCTTCCTGCAAGGGAACGGAGAACACGGACATGTCTGCGCTGTAGCGTGAGGCTGCTCATTACTTTTTTCAGTCTAGCAATTCTGAATTTGTTTACCAGTGTGCTTGTGGAGGGGGGATGCTCTATCCAACTCTCGCATCCAACTCTGACCTGCCTACTGCCAGAAGATAAATACAATGTGTCTCCAGAAAAATCACTGCCTGCAGTCACTGCCTCAGAGCAGGTTTAGAGCAAGGTCTAACACCCAGGCTTTGCAAATCAGGCTTCAACAAGGCTCTTTACACATTTAAACCAAAGCACGCACTAGCCTGGGGCTGCGGGCTCAGTTCAGCTCATGGCAAGACTCCAGGGTGGATTGCCATTTCGAATCTAGATGCATGCATTTCAGTACCTCCACACACACAGAGCTCCTAATACAGGCCCTGGAGATGTAGCCAACATCATTGGTAGAGGTTGGAGAAACTCAGCATGCCAGCCAGGACATGCAGGGCCAGTTGGAATGGAGGTTCAGAAACTTGTATGCATCTGGATACCCCCATTTTGCTATCTTTGTTTAGAGTCAAAGCCCACTCCAGAGTTTTCAGAGATGATCTCTGTACTAAACTTGCCATTTTGTTCCATCTACTTTCATTTCCCAGATGAGAAACAGGAGAGAAAAAAAGACCCCAGCAGTTAGAACCTGAGCTAACCTCTATATTTTTCCTTAGTTATCTTCTTAACACTTTTGGAAGCACCCATCTGCCAACCTGAGGCACAGATCCAGCAGGGTTAAGTCTCCAGCTAGACAGATCAGTGTTGTTCCCAAGTTATGCTGGCTGCCTAATGTTAAGTGCTAAAACTGCCAGGCAGCCCTTAAGGCAACCCCAATTCCATCATCCCTGGCAGGGGGAAAGCCATGGGCAGCAAGCACATGGGATACTCACAGCAGCACAACCTCCAGGGATGACACCAGCGATGAGAACGGGAGAGTCTCCTCGAAGCGTGAACCCAAAGCCGTTCTCCCCTCTCATCAGGTGGACTCTTCGTACTGGGTACCACTTGTTTTTGGCTGAGAAAACTGAGAGGGGTCCCTAGGGCAAAGCAGAAACAGTGAAAATACCTTCTAGCGCAAGAGCAACTCTCTGCGGACCGTGTGCTGCAAAAATACCCACTGACGGAGAGGAAGGAGGACAAAAAATCCTGTCTTTTGCATTTTTTTGACCTGTTTTGAGCCTGCTCAGGATTTCAGCCTGCCTTCATGCCAAAAAAAGCAGCAGATTTGTGCAGCACAAGGCTAGAGGAGTTAAGAGCACTTGTTAGACTCTGGCTTTGAGTGAAGCAACACAAGCTTATGTGGATTGGAAAGAATCTCTGGAGGTCTCATGTCAGAGGAGAGCCAACATAGATGAGGACATCCTCCGACACTGCAAAGGAGAAGGAAGTCTCACCATCAGGGTAAACTTGGGTCAGTTTAAACATTACAGTTTTGGATCAAACAATTTCCCCCTTTCTCAATTTCCCTTTTAAGGAAATAAAACTCATCATCAAATGAGGGTCAGGGATTGAGGTTTTCACTGCAGCCTGGCTCTGGGGGATGCAACCAGTTCAGAGTGGACTGCACCAGGATAGGTCATCGCTTCAAGAGAGGTGTCCACTCCACTTTACATCCAGGAATCTTCACACCAAAGCCCCTTGCTGATTTTCAGGGACTGAATAGGTCTTGCTCCATCTAGATCATGCACAAATATGCCCCCCCCCCTTGCCCATTCTGCTGCAAAGCTCCTGCCTGGGAGGAGGTGGCTCGTCTCCTGCTGGAAGGAAGCCCTTGAGGGAAGTGCCTGCACCAGGAGGGAAGAATGACTCACAGTCCTACTGCTTCTTACAGCAGGATGAAAGGACAAGCTTTTGTGTGTGTGCCTGCTGTCTTCTCGGGGGGGAGCTGGATGAAATCCCTGCTTGTCAACTAACTAACCTGCTGTTGCTTCTATGACTAACGAAATAATAAGAGAAGAAGGCAGCATTTGCTTTCCAGATGGCGTTTTGGAGAAGAAACAGAACTTTGCAGGCTGCGGGGGCTTTTTTGCTTCTTCGAGTGCCCCTAAATGCTGCCTGGAAAGGCTGCCTGCATAACAGGAGCACTTTTATCTCTGACCTTGCCCATGACCACAGAGTGCCACCCCGCTCCACATCCGTACATACCAGTCTGTGGAAGAGATCGGTCACCTTCACCTGGGAAAAGTTGGGTGATTTTATCTCCGGTTTCTGATGGGTTTTGGCTAGTGTTAAAAAGAGAAAGCACACACGCCAGGGTCATGTAATTTTAGCATCAGCCAAGTGGCAGCGGGTTTGCTACCTCACTGTGAACATGTTTGAGGTAGGGAAAACATAACCCAGAAGAGCTCGGACCTGCTCACGGAGCTACAAACACGAAACTCAGAACTCCAGCCCATTCACATTAGCAGTGCTCCATTTCAGTATAGGGAGCCCAGCTCCTCTTACACATGCACAACCCTTTGCCCACAGCTACATATCACATTAACTCCATAAAACCCTGCAGAGTTTGCCCATTCCACAGGACCCTTGCATATTGCATCCCTTATCTGAGGCACTCTCCCCCACGCAGAATACACCCCAAAATCACTTACGGTGAATATCTGGGGCATCTCCTGTTTCAAAGAAGTCCTCTTCATGGTCAATTTCTGAGTATTTGCTCAGTGAGCGTTTGTGAGCAAAGGAAAGGACCTCCTGGAGAATATCCATCTTCCGCAGGATCTTGCATAAGCTGTGGATTCTCATGGCTTCTTCGTGCTTCATGATGGCTTTCTTCAGATGAGCCTTTGCTGGAAAAAGCAGAACAGAAATCACAGCCTGGCCACGCCAGCAAGAGATCCACACAGCTCTCCTGTCGCTACCTCTTCAACACCAGGCAGTCTTGCTTGCTTGGCTGCCCACGGATTAAAGGAGTTTCAGTTGCTGTGTCACTCGATGTGTTTCAGGGACAGCCCAGTCACGTTAGCAGCCTGCCAGGCTTTCAACGTGCGTTAAATGGGAGTAGGTCCCAGTCGCCAGCTTAATGCCTCTATGTAGGGCTGGAAGGGACCTTGAGGTGTGACCTACTTCACTCCCTGGCAGGAGGGACAGGGCTGAGAATACATGGCAGATGTTCCCTAAAAGCACCGGCGAAGGAGCTGCCATCACCTAGCGAGGGAGGTGGAGACGTCGCTTCGCTGCCCTTGCAGCGAGCAAAGTTTCACCTAACATTTAACCTAAATCTCCTCTGCAAATTAACTTCTCTCCGGCTCCCGGAGTCCCTGGTGAGCACAGACGACAATCAGATTTTGTCCTCCCTGTGACTGCCTTACAGCTTTAGGATGGTTTGATGCTTCTCTTCCTTCTTTTCTAGGCTGAGCAAACCCCAGTCCTTCACTTTTCCCTGCAGGTCCTGCTTTTTGCCCTCTTTGGTGCCCATACTTGCATTTCTCCCTCTTTGGTGCCCCTTCTTGCTTTTTTCCTCCCAAAAAGCCTTCCATTTGTTTTCACCTTGGCAAAAGCACAGTGGTGATAAATGTCAGGAGAGATGTAAACACTACCCCATTGAGCCAGATACATCTAGATATCAGGAGTGAGGACTGATGACCTGTGAATATGGGACCTACAAATTCAAATATCCCTGTTTTGCAAGAGACTACAACAAAGATGTCCACAGCTAACGTTGAACTATATATAAAAAAGCTTAATATCCATATATAAGAAAAACATATGTGCTGCTAGCAGTACCAGTTTCAAGACACACGGTGGCAACATAATCCAGGGAGATGACCAGGATTTGCTCCAGAGAATGAGTGGAAATCAATCAGTTCCCTAAATAACGCTCCTTTGTTCTTCTCAGAAATAAAATTTCCAGTCAAGGAAATACTTTGAGGCTGGATATAAAACTGAGAGGAAAAGGTTCTGCAAAATCATCACTTGTGTTTTCTTGTCAAATGCAATAGATCTTAATTAAAGTAACTGCAACTTATGGGGGGAGGAAAGCACAAACACAGGCATGCCTTGATTTTATGCGGCTTGGTAATGACTGTCACTGATTCCTTCTATTTCTATTGACGAACAAATGGATAACATGAGGTCACAGGAGATACAGGCTGAGGCAGGTCTCAGATCATTAGCTGCTTTCTAAATCACCACCAACCTGGGACACTGCCTCCCTGTGAGACCATAAATTCACCTTTCAAATGACAGTGCCTGCTCAGCCAGTTGATCAAACAGGAATTGACCACGAAGTTAGGCAGTTTTTGGTTTCAGTTTAGCAAAGCTGGTGGAATACATCACATGCCTGATATAAACAATGTTATCAGAGTATGTAACAAGAGAAGGTGGGGGGAAAAATCCGGGGGGATGTTTTTAGTGTTGCAACTTTCTTCCTGAAAACAGAGCTGAGGTTGGTGCCTGCATGTTCAATTTTTTACAAGAAAATGATGAGCAGATCCTGTCTTCTCTCAGAAGAACAAGCGGAGCTGGAAGCTTGGCTGATGCCAATCAGGAAACCAGATAAAGGTGCTGGGGCAGTTTACTGTAATACTCGGGTTTGGGGGTTCACGTAAAGGTTGCTGTGGGAGTCTCCCTGTGCTTGGGTGAGGAAAAAAAAAACCTCCTGAATGTCCTCTGCCTCCCACCTGCTAGCCGCAAAAGGAGGCGAAGCAGCCAGGGGAGGACTCTGCCCGGGCTGGCTACGTGACAAACTCATTCCGGGTAGGGCCTGTTTCATTTCACACTTCTGCAATTAGGGAAAAGAGCACCAAAAGACACTTTGTGTGGGAGGTGAACAAGATGACATTCTCGCAGGAGCGAACTGAGCTTCCCATTGTTCGAGCCTCTTTGGGGAGGGCTGTTAAGATTCAACTTTAGCTGAATAAGCAAGTGTTGCTATCTTTCCCCTTAAGCTGAAAATCATCATGGGAAGAAGCTCTCATCTCTCGATCTTTTTGATGTAGCTAAAAAAAGCCACTGGCGGCCTTCACTGTATCTTCTTAAGAGGCAAGTCGATCAGCTGAAAGCTCAAGCCAAACTCCTTCCAGGAGCTCCACCTGCAAACACATTTCCCTGCAATACGCTGCAGGACATTATCTGGCTCAGGAAACCTCAGGGTCAGCATCAGACTCAGCAAGACAGAGCAGTACAGGCTCTGTGGGTTGTTTTATTTATTGTGGACCACTGAACTGTCCTCCCCTAAATGTTTCTGGCTGCAGGGCTGAGGGCCCTTCTCTCATCCTTCATCCATGCAAATGTTCCTTCCCAGCAACAGTGGGGCTGATTTGTAGCATTAACGTGAGATCCCCTTTGGAAACACTTGGAAATTTTTCCCAGGGAGCAGGCAACAGAGTTCCTGGAAATGGTTTGCAGCTTGCACTACAAGGTGGGTACAACCTCCCCATGATAGATATAACTACCTTCAGACCATGGGATTTTTACTGTTGGCAAGGAGGGAGCCAGGAAGAGCTCAGTGCAGCTCTGCAACTCCAAGATTCCAGAGAGAAGCTGCAGGACTACCATTTACAAAAACAGTGAACAGATTTGGTAAGAAGTATGCAAAAAAAAAAAAAAAAAAAAAAAGGAATTGTAGGGCAGAAGGGCTATCTGTTCTGTATTCCCTTTGAGCCTAGCTGCAATGTCTTCTGCCTTCACAGCAGTGACTTAAAGATGTTGGGTCCGGTAACCAAATTGACAAGGAGAGAGGCAACCACCATAGATATATATTGTCTTTTATTAATAGAAGAAAGATAATAAGTATTACCAGCTAGCTGGGGTCCGGGCTTTCCCACGCAGGGGTCACACCACGGACCCCAGCAAAGAAGCCTCAATATTCTGGGGCTCCGCTTGGTTCTTGAGCACCAGCACTGTCTAAAGGCTAAAGGAAAGAAGTGCTGCATTTGGTCATAACCAGAAGGAGCTCTGCAGTGGCAAATGCCAATAGCTTTATTCCAATCCTGGCTCCCTGCACAATTTTTACTGCTTGCATACATGTTATCCAAGGAGGAAAAATGTGAAGGCTTGACTGTTTCATGGCTGGTGTCATGCTTTAAGTATCCATGTAAAATAAGAGGATATGGGCATGAGGGAAGTTAGATCCAACATGCTCAATTAGAGAGAATACTCTTGTGACTGACAGAGCATTTAAACATCCTCATGGGGAAAGAAGGAATCATGATACCTTCTGATCACTGCCTTCCCAGGAAGGCATCTTTTCAAAGAAAAGATGACAAAAAGTGTCTTTGAGTTACAGAGACCCCCTCAAACTCCTACAGCAGAGTGGTTGGGTTGCAGAAAGGTTTGCTCTGCTCATATATCAGATTTGATATTGGGTTTTGGCCTTTGAGCCCCAAATCCTGATCTGCCACCAAGCCCGCACTTACCCAGCTTCCTTCTCTCCTCGGGATCCTGCAGCAGGACGCGGAGAGACGGCCCGTCCGGCATGGTGACATGAAACTGGATAAAAGCCTTCTCGTGCTCTGGGAGCTCGGCATCGGAAGCTGCTGTGCAAAACAAGAGGTGGGAACATGTTTAGAGAAAGTCAGGGCACTGCTCAGCCACGGGCAGGGAGTCCCAGGTGATAAGAGAAGGTGGACAGCAAGTCCAGCGAGTCACATCCCCACTGGTGACATGGACATGGCCCTGCTAGCTTCAGGGGTAGCTTTCTTTCATCCAAAGGGGGCTTGGCTTTAGCTTTAGTCTGCAAAAAAACACAAAATAGTTGACAGAGGGGGAAGATTTATTATATTAAAGGTCACACCATGCTTTGAAGCAAAGTGCAAGATTTGTCTTGTCCGCGTCACTTCAATATCTGGCTCTTTTCCCTCCTTTGGTCTGTTTTAGAAGCGGAATTGAAAATAAAGGTCCTGAATATTCCTATTGAAGGTTAGTGACATGGAGCTAAGCCAGATGACAACTAAAGCACAAGAGCTGTACAAAAATGACAGGCTACAGTGTAAATGGGGAGCTGAACACCCAAATCTGTTCCCTTCTTCTTGCTGCACTTCGGATCCCAGTGCACGACCAAGGACTTCTATTCCTGTTTTTCTCCTTTCTCCTCCAGCCTGGGGACAGGATGGGACAGCAAGAAGTTAAGAGGCCTCTTGGGCTCCAGTACTAGAGCACCAGGAATTGCTGATCCAAATCGAGGGAGATGCCAAAGCCCATCCAACCCCCCTGACATTGGCACCCTGTGGGCTGTTGAACAGGCAGCTCCATCAGGCTGACTCTGGATGCCAACTCTCTCCGTGCAAGCACCCACAGGGGACTAAACTGCAGCATAAAGAGCTTATTTACGGTTGGTTACAGAAGCAAGGGATTTGCTATGCTGAGCAACGGGGCCAGAGCACGCTGGGAGAAGTGGCAAAGTTTGGCACATATTATTTGACCAGGCAGCACTTGTGAAAAAATTGAAGTGGGAAATGTGCAGACTCAGGTCTCCTAAGAACCTAACGTGGTTAGGGCAGGCAAAGAGCCACAGAGTGTCCGGGGAGAAGTTTGTCCTGTCCCTGCTAACCTCACTTCATCCTTGTCCTCTGCTGCTTCTGTCACTTTTGTCTTCAAGCCCTGCTCCCACCTCTGACCCAGCATCTTTTCTCACTCAGCCCTAAAAGCCTCTCTTGGTTCTGCATCGCCCACACAGCCCAGGCCTGGCGAGAAGATTTTGGGCAGGCTGCGGAGAGCGGGGGCCGGATGCAGCTCCCGAGCGAGCTGCTGCTGGCTGCGTCCCCGGGCAGGGCTGCCAGCCCCGCTTCCCCACGCTCCCGTTTTTTGGGGCAGGCTGTAGCGGCAGTCGTGACGCTGCTGTCCTCCAGGGATCAGCAACCCAGTGCAACACACACCAAAATAGACCCCTTCGTGTTTCTGGGGCATTGGGCTTTCGCTGCAGCCTTCTGCATCTCGTCAAGATGTCCAGGAAAGCTGCAGATCCTGCAAAGACCTGAGCGAGGGACTGGATGATGAGGCAGGGAAAGAAATCAGGCAGAGGGAAGGATGTACATGAGGCAGATGGATTTGACAGTGAACAGAGTAGCCCTGGCTAACAAGCCAGGTCCCCTTGGTGCAGGCAAACAAGCAGCAGGGCTAGTGTCTGGATGATTCAATGGTCAACAAGGCCCTTCACAGCTTCACAAAAGTGAATTGGGTGGCGAGAGGGAGGACAGGGGTCTGCAGGGCTGCACTGCTGTCTCAGACAACCCCAAGCAGCAGCTCAGGTCTGCTGCCTGTCTCCCATCCCATGGAGAGCCAACATGGCAGGTCACAGCGCGCGTCGGCTGCTGTCCCTCAAATCCTCAGCCTGACCCAAACTTACCCACTCAAACACTGCTGACAGCGCAGATGGAGCTGGGGATGTGACTCATAATCTCCATCCGAACTCTGCAGACTCATGTCACCCTATCTGCACCCACACAGCCAGCCACAAGGCTGGCAATTAAATTTGGGTAGCCTAGACCAGTTTGTCCAGGGAAGGCCTGTTTCTTGCAACCGCTGACTGGCCTGCCAGGAGGACCAGTGTGGCAGGACTGGTCAGCAGGCAGCCTTTCCCTGTGTTTATCTACCCAGCCCCAAAAAGCAGGGAGCGTGAGACACGCCTACAAGCACCTTTTTGCTGACCTCGTCTGACAGACATTGCAAGGACAGTACAAATCAAAAAAGAAATGAGGGAGCATTTAGCCTGAGTGTGCTTTTTTTAAGTCTCTTTTGGAACTGTCAAGCAGGACCAATAGCTCAGAACCTCCCAAAGGCTCTAGGTTTTATATCCTGTTACTCTGTGAACAGCATTTTAGTTCTTTCTCACAATCTTCCATGTGCTAGGCTGCTATTGGGATGATTTGCAACAGCATCCACAACAGATCAGCACTTGGCTAAAGGAGAAGCCAAATCCAAGCCACAAAACTGAGGTGCTTCATACTCACCAGGGCAATCACAGAGGGCAATGGCAGCAAAGTAGTGGGAGAGGGCCTTGAAATGCTCTGACTTGACATGGACCATGGTTGTCCAAGAGAAGGGAACATAATCCTTCACGTGGACCTGGGTCATCGTCTGGTGCACCAGCGAGTAGACGTCTTCAACCTGCAGGCATCAAAACTCAAGCTGAATGGGATATTTATCACATCTGTCTGGAGGCACTGACAGAGCTGCCTCCATCAGTGGGCACTCCTAAGAGTTTGTAGGAGCCAGGGATGCCAGTTCTAGCTGTCCTGGGGAGTCCTGGTATCCCTATTGCGTGGGCAGCAGGGAGGCAGCTGCATGAGCACTTCCCATCTTGTATGGTTTGTCCTGCTACCAGAGACCCCAGGGAGGAGAAAGGAGGCACCATAACCTACACAGGGATCTGGTATCTGAATTTGAATATGCTCTAACCCAGCACATCAAACTCCCATAACAGCATTTTGTACACGCAGGATATTTGAATAATAAAGATCTCTCTCTCCAACTGCTTCGAGGCACAGATTCTCTTAGTCCCTTGCCCAAAGTGACACAGAAAAGCCCCTCATAAATCCTGCTCTGAGAAAAATAAACTGCATCAGCTCAGCTGTTTGCCCTGCTCCAGTACATCCAGAGATGGTGATGCTGTGATTGCCAAATCTGATATCACACTGAGCAGCTGGTGCATCCCAGAGATCTCAGAAGCCATCTCAGGGCAACATGAGAGGTGGGGCCTGGCAGACAGAGCATCTTCCGAAGCTTGACTTTATTCTTGGCCTGGGCCTGGCACTGTTACAGCTACGTAGAGAAGGCAACATTCTCAGCAGGGCAAGGTGGAACGATTAAGGGCTTAACTCCGATAAGGACATTGGGCTAATTCTATTCATAATTCAAGGTTAGGAAATGCAGTTATGTCAACAGTGTGCATGACTTAGCCCCTAAACCACTGAGGGGATTGTTTCTTTTCTTTATAGTGGGATTAACAACCAGCAATATTTACAAACAGCCCAGCATGCACACACAGGCAAGCAATGCCCAGAAGGATGCTGTTTCCACATGTTCACATTGCTCTCCAGATGCTTCATGGTAATCTGTGAGGCTGTACCACAGCTCGTAGGACCCCTCTTGCTTGCTCCCACCGGTGTCAACCCTACAAAATCCTCTGCTTTCTGTCCATGACACCCTTGCCTGGCTTTGCCGTGGAGCCCGGAGGCAGCACTTACCCTGGCTGCTTCTTGGGCAAGCTGCAGTTGCGTGAGGAAGTCGCTCTGGGCTCGGAGCAAGGTCACCTTCTCGAAGACACACTCCTGCACCTGCGCGATCATCAGCCGCACCAGCATGTTCAGGGAAGAGGCACTCATGTCCAGGCTAGGGGCATTGGAGAAGTTTTCCTTCAAGTAGTTAAATGCACCTACAGAAGGGAAAAGCTCCAGGTAGCTGTTTTGCTTGTTGTTTGCTGCAGTTGTTTGGGCTGCAAACAGGAGGAATCACCTTTCCTAGGAAAAAGATTCTGAGACCAATCTCCAATAGCACCACAGTAGGAACATCCCTAGAGTCAGCTCCAGGATGCTTGTGCAGATGTACCACACACATCTTAGGTTTCTCATCATAACTGGCAACAAGACAGATCCTCATGCCTGTGGATTGCTCTTAAAAGCCCTGGACAATCACAATTCCATGCCAGTCTAGCATTTACTAAGAGTTTTTGTTGGAGTTCAAGCTATCACCTTCTGCCAGTTGTGGGCAAGAAGGGAAAAAAAAATCCCTTCCTCTCTGCACCAGTCAAATATGCTTGCAGGTGGATCAGCATTTCCCTAGGAGATAACCAGAAGGCAAATCATTCCTTTTCTTGCCCTCTACTTTTTTACCAGCCCTTTTTTTTTTTTCTCCCCCACCTATTTCCTCTCCCCTTCAGGCTCTTGTAGGTTGACCCAGTGCAGACATCCTAGCTCTGTGCAGTGAGAAAGGGGCCTTCGGGTGGCTTTCAGACCAGCACAGCCCCTCTTTGTACCTGCAGCAGCACCGTAGATTGGGTCATGTTAAGAGGAAGCGGAACCAACCTACCGGCTGCCTTCTGAAATGCGTCGATCGCCCGGTTGACTCCTGGCAGGGAGGCACGGTCCTGCCGTGCCCCAATCTGGGTGTGCAGGGCTCCAATGTTGAAGAGGACGCTCCCTTTCTCAAAGGCCAGTGCCCGCTGGTGGGAAGGGACCCCCGTCAGAGAGTCATACCTGGAGATGGGAAGAGGCAGCCGCAATTCCCCCAGCAATTCATTCCCAGTCCCCACAGAGCATGTGTTTCCACGTGCCTCCTTTAATGGATCTGCCAAATGTTTTAAGCCAATATTAAGCCAAAAGCAAGAAGGAAAGCCAGCTCTCCGTGTCAGCTGGCCCCTGTATTGCTCTTGAGGTCAAAAAAAGACAGGTTGGATCTTCCAGACATTACGAGGGAAGATGACCCCTGCAGACAGCCACGAGATCTGGTCCTATTTACCTTCTGGCCCCAACACACCCACATTAGCCCCATTTAGGAATGCTTGTGGAAGTGCAAAGGTCAGAAAGGAAAAGGCTTTGCGTACCAGTGAAAGAAGACACCCAGGTTTTTACTGGGAGGGAAGAAGCGGTTGTCAAGGAAGTACAGCTGGTTGTAATACTCCATGAGGAGTTCGAGCCCAGCCTCATTCCGGCTCGGCGTCCGCATCGCCTGTGGAGAAACAGGAGAGGGAGGATGGACACACGGGTGGGAAGAGAGAGGAGGGAACAGCAGGAACACGAAATTTAGATGCTGGTCAGCAGTACTTAGCTCTATGGTGTACAACATTGGCTTACGTGGGAGAAACTCCACCCTAAAAGGCTCTGCGCAGAGCCCCTCTCTTTCCAGGCAAAGTATTTCAATGGGCAGGAGGGCATCATTGGGCCAAGACCTTCAAGACTACCATAGAACATGCAGTCAAAGGGAGAGAATTTCCCTAATGTGACTTCCCAGCTTCTCAGCACCACGCTCGGTGGTTGTGCAGCAGAGGGAGGCAGCCTCTTGTGTAACAGCTGATATGGGTTTATCTATGGAAAGGGCTGGGGAGGTACAAAGTCCAAGCTGGGGTACACAGACTGAACCCAGCAAACTAAAACCAGGTGCTGTTCCAGTTCTGCCTTTGTTCTGATGGCAAAGCTCAACTAAATCAAGCTGGGATATTTAATTACTTCCTTTTTTTTTTTTTCTTAAGAGAGAAACGCATGCACAGTCTGATTAAATAAACTTTAGGGAACTTTAGGGAAGAAATCCATCTGATAATAGAATAATAGAAAATACGAGACAGGAATTGATTTGATGGCTTTTACTAATGTCTAGTTTCAGTCAGGAGCCCTCTCCCAGCCTCTGACCTTCCAGGGCTCCCCTCCCACAGCCTGAAGAACAGGACTGGGACCTTTATAAGGCTGGGAAAGAACATTCTTCCTGCTCATGAGGTCAAAGCTTTATGGCAAGGCAAAACTGAAAATACTTATGAGAAGCTATTAGGTAGGAGAGGATAAAGTTCACCCTTACCAGATTACATTTCCTTTTCTTTGACTACTACTATATAATGTGTTAGCTGGGGAAGGAAAATAATTATTTAGTGGTCTATAACATTTTGTAACCTAAGAGCTGAAGCCAACGTGTTCTAATGTATGCTATAGGAATCCAGCACCCAAAACCACAAGGAAGTTTGGAAGGAGCATGAAGGGACACAGAGGAAAAAGTGGCACCTTCAGCGAGACTTCCCGCAAGCCAGAGCAAGATTTTGCAACTCGAGGGACACAGACCTGCCGCAACTCCATGAACTCTTTGATTTCCTTTTCAAACAAGACACCATCCTCTCCATAGTGCTCACTGATGAGATCCTGGGGGGGAACAGAAGAAAATCCACAGTCACCCTTGAAAACAGACATTCAAGATTTGAAAGGTGACTTCTGAGAACTCTGTAGAAGCAACATGCCAGCTTTCTCAACAAGGTTTTTGGAAATCTGCACCAAGAAAAGCCAGGAATGTGATCTCCCTAGGCAGGACACCCCTAGTTCATACAAAGGGATGCTGCAGGCCTGCCAGGCCTCTGCCCTCCAGCAGCCTGGGAAAATTGTGATCACTTCCCCACTGTTCCACTCCTCAGCCTTGTATCTTCCCCTCCCCTGTCTTTTACCTCCTCATCCTGAATTTATTTTTGCCAGGTCCTAAAAGCCACCATTCCAAAGAAGAAAATGGTCTACAGCTGCTGTACAGTCCCCTCTACAGCTCTCAATGGTGCCCATATGCAGAAATATCCCCCAATTTGATTTCCTAGTCAGTCTAAATTACATCAGGCATGCAAACCCTCAAGACTTACCTTCAGTGGTATCAACAAGTCCAGCTCCTTGGTCTCCTTGAGGCCCAAAGGAATCATGGGGACGCTGATGGACTCGCTGAAAGAACAAACAACCTATTCAGTGACTGTTTCGTAAGTGATTGAAAATCCTTGTGTTTCAGGGGTAAACTGGACAGCATTGAGATGATGGGAAGCTGCCACCCATGTCAGAGAGCAGAGAGGTCCCCAAAATCAATGCTGGACTGCACTTCCTTTTTCTTTTCTGCCTGTGCTGGCAGCAACACAGACACTACAGGGGAAAACATTCTTTTCCCTGGGTTTAATTTGATCCTACTGAAGGGCAAAACTAAAGAGGACCAGACTCCGTTTAGGAAGACAGATGTGATCCGTGCTGAGGGATGTGATGCTGGGAACGACTGTGCACGTTGGAAAGGTGCACAAGGATGACAGCCTGAAGTCATCAGTCTGTTATTACTTCAGCTTCTGTTTTTTATCTCCAAAACAAATATAATAGCAACCCGAATAGGCTGCAGTGACAAAGCTATTTTAATTAACAGCCCTTGGGAAATGTGCATGACAGGATTCATGAACTTCCACAGGCTAATATAGACTTCATCACTGATAAGGACTTGCTCCGAGGCACAGAGCTATGGCTAATACTGAAATTTCCTGCATCTATTAAAACCGGTTGTCTAATAATAGCCCTTATCACAGAGCTGGTTCAATACTTGTAAAACACCAAAGATTATGAGGACTTTGGCAATACCCAGCTGAGGAGCGGTTTGTGTTTCAACATGAGGGAAAGAAAACAAAAGAGGTCATCTGTGGAGCAAAGAAGCATCCCAGCCAGGTAGCACCATCCTTTTGGTGCTTTAGCTGGTATTTTCATTTTCTGTTGCCAAGTGAAGTAGCCTGTGCAAGGAGCAGGGCCTTGGGCACATAGAAAATTACAGCTTTTTTACTCTGCAGCAGGAGGAAAGAGTTTACTTCCAACTGCACATAGAGACCTGCTAGATCCAGGCTCTTTGCCCGGAAACCCCAAATACCCAGAGCCTCATTCCTGGATACTAAGATGAGAAACTATGGTGTTACCTGCAGCTCGTGCCAGCCTCTAGCAGAGAAATGGTTTCCCCAACCACTGTTTATTCCTTAAGGATGTTCCTAACCCTCCACTCTGAGCTGTTTTACCATGTCCCCAAGTGGGAAGAGACAACCTAAACCCCTCTAGTTAGCTCTAGACACCACTGATGAGTCACTAGCACACCGTGGTCCAAGGAGGCAAGGAGACAAAAAAAGAGTTCCAAAATTGAGTGATGGGAAAATCCTCAGCCTGTTCATTCTCATTCGGCCACTGAATAAACAGCCTCCCGACAGCTATAATTAGTATGAAAAAACGGTTACAACTCGTTCTCTAATGAGATTTCAGCTTGATTCGAATACTACAGAGCAAACAAAAGGGGGTTTGTTTGGCCTGCGCAGGGTTTTGGGGTTATTGCTGTTGCTTTCTTTTTAAACCACAGCAAACATAAGGCTGGTTACACCGGCCAAGCACCCCTGCTTGGAAACAGCTTAAGGAAGAAACCTGTGTCACGGGAGGACTCAGTCCTACAATTTAACTTCCCCAGTCTATTGCTGGAATAAGGAAAATGTCCAGGATGATGCTCAGAGATGCAGTAGACTCTGTGGACACAGTGAATGCTCAAGGGAGAGTGAGACGCAGCCTCCCTCAGCTTTTCCTCTGTGTTTCCTATGTTCACAGACTTGCCATAAGGCTGTCTCGGGAAGGCAAGGAGCGTTTGCAGCTCCCACGTTGCCGCAGCGTCCCTGGTCTTTTCTGCCTCGGGGATCTCTTCTTTTCTCACCCAGATAAATAGCTGTGCTGAGCCGCCCCGGCACGTTGGTTTGCTGCTGGCGAGCGTGCTAGGATTACGGCTCCGGTGAGTCAAACGGCTGAGGTGGCTGGGTAAGCGATTCAGAGAAACAACACGCTTCAATTAATGAAAGGTCTAACCTCGGAAAGGGGGAGGAATGTAATAGCCTCTCTGGGAAAATAAAAATGAGTGAGCAATCCGTTGCAGGAGTAGCCCGAGCAGGAGGTCAGGCACCTAAGCAGCCAGGGTTTTAATTGCTTCTGTTAAATACCCAGTTTCACTTGATGTGATATTTTATTTTTTTGGCGGGGGGTGAGGGATTCTCACTGCTGTGCTCAAGATGGTTACTTCTGACCCATCGCTCCTGGCTTCAGGATATCAGAACGCAGAGAACGCACAATCCATCCTGAAACACATCCTAAATATCTACTAGGAAAAAAAAGTCAGGGTTGGTCTCCCTGTGGTTTTAGAGATTAAGCAATGGAGGTTTCCAGCAGGAAAGAGCAAATCCTTTCAGGCTGTGGCCTGTGCCCTATCCCTCTCCAATTCTCCCACCACCAACTAGCGGATCAAACTCTGATCAGATCAGGGGGACACACCAGGATGCTCAGGGAAGCAATGGGGGTAGCAGCAAGACTGACATGGGTGCTGATGTGACACCAGCCCTGCGATGCCTTGAGGGCAGAAGAGAAACAACCTCGCGTGCCAGGTGGAAAGAAAAAGAAGAAAGAAATCCCCACCAAACCAACCACTTTTCCCACGCCAAAGCAACCTCCCCGGCCTGCTTGGCAGCTCCATGTACCTGTCATTCTGGTACACGTCCATGCAGCTGTTCAGCTCTTCCAGCTCCTCCTTCAGTAACTGCAGGTTGGAGTTCACATAGCTGAGCTCCAAGGCAACTGTTTCTTTTACTTTGTGGTTACTGGTGGCTCTGGAAAACAATAACATGTAGATCAAAACTCCCCCATAAAAGCCAGGCTGTGCAGATAAACAGCAATTAACTTATCTGACCATAGGATGCCATTCCCTCTTCCCTGCCATATGTAGCAGCTGTTCCAAACCCTCCCGCAGGGCCATGGTTTCTCCATTGGTTGGGAAGTGCTTTTGGACACCCTGATAATTTCGCTCAGTGGCTCCAGGGTAGAAGGAGAAGCCCCAGAGGATGTTTTTTTGCTATTATGATCTGTTTCTTTCTCCACATGTCCCCAGATGAAAAAGCAAGACAACTGTTACCAGGCTCTGGGGAACTGCTCTGCCACATGCAGCTCCCAAATGAGCCTCATGACTTGTGCACGAGACCTCAAATTTGGTCAGGTTGCGGTTTGCAAGAGCAAGCCAAAAATTTAGGCAGGCTACCAAACAGGCCATGGCAGGACCTCTGCTCAGAAGCCTAGAGATGGAGGAACAAGCACCCAGAAGGTCCCTCATGCTGAAGGATCAGTTCTTTCTATCTAACTTTTCATGCAGCAGGGAAAAACTTAAGAACTTTTCTGGGTGTCTATTCCAAAATTGCAGTTTGGCCTCTGAAAGAGTTGAGGGAAGAACTGAAACCAAGGAGAATAGAGCTTGGGAACATGTGGATGCTACAGTGCACTAGAATGCAGATGGGGATGGAGGAAAAGGGGAAAAAAAAAAAAACCCTCCAGTGGCTTTTTGACATGTTTTCTGTCTTGTTCACCCTGTGCCAATGGAGGCTGAGGCTTTGCACAGCTCATAACAGGATTAATTCCTACTTGGATTAATCTGACCCTTCCTCCACCAACTCCTGCCCTCTGTTCATCCCATCTGTCCTCCCAGACTGGGTCACCGACAGCCATCTACACCAAATAAAAGTGGCATTTTAGGGTTAGGCCTCAACTTAAGCAGGAAAAGGCTCTTTTGGGGAGCAAATGACCCTCCTGCCACCCCTGAGCAGTGCCAGGTCCTGCCCTCCCTCTCCTCTATTGCATGTCAGGGGATATAAACACCCAGGATTGATTTCAGCTGCGGCAAGTTGCAAGACAAGGCAAGACAAACTTCCAGGCTGATTATACCCTTCTTATCTGCTGCAAAAGAAAGCAGGGGAGAGATAACCCAGCGGCAGCAGAAAGCTGACAGGCTGCAATTGGCCGCTGAAACGTGCTCGAGCCCCTCGCACTAAATCACACTGGGCCCCAGCAAAGTGCAGTAAAAACAACACACACAAGCTTTGCTGGGTGGGATATTGCTCTCCTACAGCCTTTGGGGACGTAGTAATGATCACGTTGCATCGAGCCACACTTTAAGCGATAGCCACCTTCAGTGGCCTTCCCCTGACCCAGCTCAGGACACAATATAGGCCTATATTTTTCTTTTAAAACTCTGGTCCATTAGTCTCCTTCCAGCTCCTTTACAAGGATTCCCAAAAGACCTATATATATATATATGTTATTTTAAATAAACAAAATCAAACCAGACCAGGTCCAAATATCTCTGTAGCCCATTCCATTAAAACATCCTTCAGCATTTCTGCAATTTCCCATAAGGTAACAGCACAGTCACCACCCCCCTTACCACATACACCAGTATTTAGTTAGCATTTTTGTCCTTCATGTATTGCAGATCAAGGAGGGAGGTGCATCTCTGCTTTCATTACAGCTCAGTTTCAACTGGGTTGAACAGAATTTCTCCTTTTTGCTTTCAGCTAGGACCTTTTTTTTTAAAAAAAAAAAAAGGTTAGTACTATCAAAAGCTGCATTTACTATGTGCCAATTTGCAATCGGCTGACACCAGGGTACCTCTGTGCACACACATAACATATTTCTGATCAGTGCTTTCACCCCTTCCTCTGAGGGAGAAGAGAGGCTTCAGCCTGAAGCAGCAAAATTTGCTGTGCAGAATTTTGCATGCACAGGTGACTTTTTCCAGGGCAGCTTTGCTTGTTATCCAGTTCAGACATCGAATGATTTTTAAGGCTGGACTTCAAAACTTCTTGTTGCTTTTGGGCATTTTCCTTCATCCTCTACAAATGGCATTTGCAGGCATCAGGAACACAGTATCTTTCACAGAGGTAATTTATGGAACAAGCCTTGATTATCAATAGCAAAGTTGTTTGCTTGGAGCAAGTTTGCACTTACGTAGGTTCATGCTTTCCGTGCAGGGCACACACTGAACTCCTTATGAGCACACCAAGTCCTCAGCTCCTAATCTAGCCCTTTGGTGAAGTTGCCGAAGATTTGCTTAGCTAACTCTGAACATTTTATTGTTAAAGAAATTGGCAACACCTTTATCTCCCCGATTACTTAGTTAAGCCGCAGTGTTTGAACAGGAATGGAAAGGGTTTCCGCTGCCTATGCCCATTTACTTAGCCTAGCAAAGAAAAGCCCTTGCACTGTTGAGCAAATACAACGTGCATTTTTCCAGTGCACCATTTATGGCAACCTCTTCAGGAAAGGTGAGTGATGCACTGAGCAGAACCATTCAGAAGTGTGTGGGTTTTTTTGTTTTTTTTTTGTTGTTTTTTTTTCTTTTTTTCCCCCCTCTCTTCTCTCTCTTCACATTTGTTTCCCTCTCAACCATAAGCCAGAAATGGGGATGCAAAGAAAGCAGCATGTTCAGCTGCAAACTCTACTCCAAACTGGGGAAATCAGTTTTCTCCTGTTTGCATTTGACATTGCCCACGTAGAGTTAAAGGAAACTTCTCAATGTAGCCCAAGCTTAAAATAACCACCACCCTTTGCATACAATTCCCCCCCGCCATATACACACCTTTAATTTGCTTCTTCCCCAGATTTCCCAGTCTCACAAGCTCCAAAATTTGCAATGTCCACAAACCCACATGTTGCTCAGACACGGAGTCAGTTTGTGGGAAGAAAAATTGCTGCTACCATGAGAGACATTCAAACTGCTGACTTTCCTCCTTGTCCAATTAAGGTGTGTTTTGCATTATTCTCAGCTCTTCTTTGCATTAAGAGGAAAAAGTTGCTCACATCCCACAAATGCCAAATCCTCCATGGAAAGTGGCTGGTACCATACAGCTCCAATTCATGCCATTTACACCAAAACCATAGCCAGGCTCATCCCTGCAGAGGCAGCACATTTCCCCTTCGCTCAGCAAAGGAGAGGCATGTGGAATGGCTCACATGGGGATTTCAAGGCCTTTTTAATGGCATGAGGCCTGGCATTTTGGCAGTTTACAGCATCCTGACCAATTAAAGCAGTAGATGCAGTGGAGCAGCTGTATGGCTGCAGGCCCCCAGTTTCTGTTTGTCATGAAGATCAGAGCTCTTCGGGGCACCATTTGCTGACCTCCTTTGCCTGTAAAATGAGGTTCCTTGCTAAAGTTCACTGGTACAGCTATAACTTCCTTTCCCTCTAGGTACAACAGGCATGTATGAGTAACACTAAATCACTGAAACTCAAGAAAACCAATGTTAATCTCATTTTATTAGAAGGAGGGAAGTAACATCGCAGGAAGTGTCACATATGCAGCTGGAAAGCCTGCTCATAAGCAAATTTAGAGTAGCCTTATGATACTTTATTTTGCATTAATATAGACCTGCCCTCTGGGTACATGTGGGAAGTTCTGCTCAGATATAAGATATCTGAGATACATAAGAGCTACAAAAATGTTTCTCAGGTAGAAGAGGCAAAGTAGCTGTAAAAACCCTGCCCACGCATTTTTTTTTTTTTTTTTTTTACAACCACTGAGTAGGGGGAAGCAGTAACCAGTTGGCTCTACCTGTGCTGCACCAGCTGCAATCTGAAAGCCATTCAAACATGCAACTTTTGCACAAATGTGTTTACACATGCATCCTCCTAAGAGAGGGAGGGCTGTTATTGGACTAAAGATGTATAATACTCAAATTTTCAGATATATAATACCCTGGGGGAAATACTGGGTCAATTTTTCCAAAGCTGAATTTGACCAGTTTCCTGGGAGTATCAAACAGCACATACATATTCAGAGCTCAATTCAACATTTGTTTCTACTATTACCATTTATTATCCACTCACACCTTGTTTTGTAACAGGCTTCCAGGAAACTAAAATACCAAGAAGTAAAGATGTTTAAAATCAGCATTGCCCTGAACAAAGTGCAAGTGTTGCAGGAAAGCTGCTGCAAAGTCAAGGAGAGAAAAAAAAAAAAAAAAAAAAAAAAAAAAAAAAAACACACAGAGCCAACTCAGAGGCAAGACAGGTCCAGCAGTGACAGCATCCATCACTTCTCAGACACTGAGATAAAATTGTGTGTTTTAGGCAAGTCGGATAAGTTCTTCCTAGAGCCTATGAGACAGTAGGCAGGA